TCATTTTTATAACACAAACCCTGCTTTAGAAAGATTTTTTTTTTGATACCCTGCTGGGATGTTTTCCTGATATGCCATTCAGGATAGTGGCATTTTAGAAGAGAATTCTTTTTTTTTTCTTCCAATGCCATTGGTATGTTTTCCATGCCTGAAAAATGTGGGCTAGAATCTGTGCCTCTGCTGTGTGTTAAGCATAAAATATTTTTAAAGCTATTTCTGCAGAGAGGAACTAATTTAAGGGCATCATAATTCATCTTTATCATGAAATAAAGATTTCCCATTTAAAGGGAGATGTGTCATTTTAAAAGGTTGAATAAAATGGCACACATTTAAAAACAAAAACAAAAGAAAACATAGCAAAACAATAATAAAAGCATTTTGTTGCTTTTTAAATTCCATACAGAGTTCCTCTTTCCACTGATAATATTTTCTTTTGATTATGAATTAGATCAATTTTTATTTGTTTTAAACCTCATCCCTTAGTATTTGAGACTATATAGTTTTTGTGAGGTCAGCATCATGGCCCTTCCAGTTCAAATGTCTTTATTTATTTTACCATTGTAGATTTGTATTATGTATGCATATCTCCAACACATTTTTAACAGCTGTTTATGCAGGAAATTGTACAATAAAAGTAATATATTATTCTATAATTCTTTTTTAAGAGAGCATGGCCTTTTCGTAGAATTTTCAGGTTAGAAAGGAATATAGGAACAATTTGGGGCAGATCTTCATTATATGGGTATAGAAATTAAGGCCTAGAAATGGTACCAGGTTTGCCAAAGATGATCCAGTTTTCTTTTCTCTATTCAGCAAATAACTTTTGAGTTCCTACTATGTGCAAAGCACTGGGCTAGATGCTATGAAGGACAAATTATGTGTAAGGAGTTTCTCTCCCTCAAAATCTGCAGAGTCTAGTGAGAGACTGTTCTCTCTTCGTCACCTCCCCACATCTGCCAGTCATCATCCTACCCAGTTTACTCGTCTGGAATACTTAGGTCTGTTTTCTTCATTGTACTGCCACTGCATTCGTTTTCACACTTTTCATCTCTCTGGTGGACCGTTGCTGGGACCATCTAACTCTTCTGCATGTCTTTTTTTCTTAATCTTCTCAAATACATCGTGCAGACTCCAGCCAGACTGCTGTGTTTGAAATAATGGTCCATCTGTGTCGCTTACCTGTGCAAAGTCCCAAAGTTATGGTTGTATTTTATAGTAAATAAAAGACCCATTAAGGTATCTTGTTAATATTTGGTGTGTAAATATGAAAATAGATTATGTGGGACCTTGCACACCATGATCAAAAATTTGTTCTTAACTCCTTTAGAGCAGGAATAGAGAGAAGAGTTTTAGAACAAAAAAAGGACAGAATTAGACCTCAAGATTCTTTACTAAACATCTTGAGGGTTGGGATTTTTGTTTGTTTCTTGCTCACTATTTTATTCTCAAATAAAAGGTTACTTGTGTTAAAATAGGAATTCATTTACACATTTGATTAAAGAAAGATATGTTTTAGAACAGTGCTGTTGAATACATTGTTCTGAGATCAGTGTTCTGTATCTGTGCTGTACAATACAGCAGCCACTAGACACATGTGACTGTTGCTCACTTTAAATGAAAAAACGGAGGAGTTGAATTTTTCACATTATTTAATTTTAATTAGTTTATGTTTAAATTTAAATAGCCACGTATTACTGGTAGTTACCAGGTTGGACAATACATTGTTAGAAAGTTCTCCCTAGCAGGGTCCCAACAGGAAAAAGAGAGAAAATTCAAATTCAGATAATTCAAGGAGAGTTTATTTATAAAGAGACTTTTTCCAAATGTGTGGGCAGCTTTAAGGCAAAAACATGAGAGTGCTGTTAATTGTAATGATATGGGAGCAATGGTGAGGTGGAACTGATGGAAGGACTTACAGTTAAGATTCTAAGCCTAGATTATGTCGGGACAGAATTTATAATGGGCAATACTAATTTTAATGACATTTCTTTGAATGAAGTCTGTACTCACAACTGTTCTTTTCCATATATCTTTCCTGGCAGTTTATTTACTGATGAGGAATGTGATTACTTTCCCCCATACAGTGCTGATTGGTGCCATGTTTTTTCAGTGTTTTTCCCCCCGGCACTTGACTGTAAGTGGTACCTTTTCCATTAGCAGGGCTGTACTGACCTAATATTGGCTTCTGTTAAGCTTCCTTTAAGGAGCATCTTCTCTTCTGAGCACCTGGGAGGTAGGCAGGCTCTGACTGCTATCTGCGGTTATGTTTTAATATCCTGCCCTTTCTGTTCCTTACCTCACCACCCACGATTCGCCTTCAGTCCTAGCTCGTTGCTTCATGATTTGTTAAGGCTTTGAAAACAGAAGGAATGAGGGCTTTTAAGTGGGATGGGGTTATTTCTCCTTGCTTTATTTATTTTTATGCCATGCAAAAGGAGTAAACAGGCATAAAATGGCTTGACTGAAGCCTAATAAATCTGGATAAATAGAGCAAGGACCCAATAAAAAGCTGGAGGTGAAAAAGAAGAGAAGTGAGGGAGAGGGAGGGTGAGACAAGGAAGGAAGATGGGGAAAACTTTATACTTGAAATAATAGTGACTGTTTTTTATCACCTGGAGAACAGAATGTCTTTGACCCAAAGAGACCTTTTAAGCTAAGGTTAAGCTCTGGGTAGAAATTAGGAAATCATCTTTATAGTCCTTATTGAATGTCTTCATGCTGTCACCTCCTGTCATCCTTTATTAAATTTGGTATGCAGTTGCTCTTAGCTCTGAGAAGGTTGACATCTTTTAGTTGTTCTGATGAATCACATCACAGAAGCTGGTGAGTTTTTACGACCAAGACAACAAAAGTCTTTCCTGTGATTTCCTGATGCACTGTGTGTGCTAGGGGTGGGGAGTGTCTCTTTGTCTGTTCTACTCCTGCCCCCTTTTGACTGTCTCTGCTTTCATGAAGTGGAAAGAGATGACCAAGAGCTAACACTGAAAATGGATAATAAGGGACAGGTTCTTTAGGTAAAATTGGAAACTGTCTTATAGCCCATTGTGTATCAGTGGCAACCTGAGTCATTTCTACCACAGCTTTTACTGCTCTGACATTCAGAATTTTATTTCGTCTATTTTCCTATTCCTCTTCTCCCACTTCATTCACAAGATACAGTCTCCATCACGCACACATTGCACATTCATTCCCAAAAAGAAAATGTAGTTAAGGACTTATTAGTCCTCTACTGTGTTTCCCCTTAAGAGGTATCTGGAAATGAATGGGGCCAGTTTTGGGCTATCATAGTGCCTGAAAGTCGTTAGTAGAATTTAGTAGACAGGGGTCCCTGGATGCCAAACATCTTGCATTGTACAGAATGGGCTCAAATGATGGTGATTTTCCCATTATACATATCAGTAATGTTACTCCCAAGAAAATCTGGATCTAACTGAAGTTTAGGTGGGTATCAGAAACCTCAGCTAACAGAGTATTTTAGCTGTGTCTTGATGAATAGATGGTCAAATCTCTTCCAGAATCTAGTAAGTCCTTAATAAAACTGTTGTGTTTTGAATCAAGTTGTTCATTTATAAACTAATCAACACTATTGAATAAATCCTAAACAAGTTACTTTCAGGAATAAAAAAATTAAGATATCCTTGCCAACATCAAGATTCTAAAAGTATTGTAAGGGTGATAAGTATTCACAGAAATAAAACAGATATTTTGGGATATTTCCAAAATGCTATTGGAGCAGGTTTACTTTGGGGCAGAGTTGCTGGGGGAACTCTGGAAACCATTGAGAAATGGGTAGGATTTTAATAGGGAATTATTTTGGGAGACATTTGCTATAGTCAAAGGTACATTATATATAAAAACTTGGAAAAAGATATAGAAATGTATAGAAATATTCTTACTGTAAAGAGCAGTACTTGAGAAGATGTGACAGAAAATAGGATTGAAAATGTAGATTAGGATAGATTATAAATCGTCTTGAACTTCTTGTAAAGGAGTCTTTCCACTTGAAGGTATGGATTTATGTGTGAGTTTAGTCCTTGGGAGTAGCGTATGGCATGTTGCCTTGTGGTCTGTATTTTGTTACAGTGTCCTTCACAGAGTCCATGCTGTAAACTCCCTAAGTTATCGGCTGCTTAAACTTGCCTTCCTGATTTTCAAGGTCTCCTCCTAAGAGCTCTTTTCAGTTTATTATTTTAAATAGTAGCAGTGTTCCTAGAGGTGAATCACATAATGATTTTTTCAATTTCTTTTAAATAAGATATTGCTGAAAAAAGTATGATTAGATTCAATTCAGTTGTCTCCCACAAAAGTAATATGTACAAAATACCAACCAAGGTGACTCTGTATGTGCTTAATAGCCTGAAGATTTAGGTTAAGGATATAACAGAGGCAACAATTCTGCTTGAAGAATGAAAAGGTGTTGCACAGATTATCTCAAAGAGCCAAAAACAGCGTCCGGTTTTTACTTGAAACAATTTGTTCTTGGAATATTGTCAGCTAAAATTGTGGTCAACTTTTGCAAATTGTATGAATTTGCACTGCATATTTTATTTAGTGTTTAGCAAAACTCCAATATGGCTCTGCATAACTTACACAATGCACCATGAAAATGACTTCAGAAACTCCCACGGAAGTTGACAAATTGGGCATCTAATGCTTTTAAGCTAATTGCAAGCTTAGCGGTTAAAGAGCCGACTTGTTAAGAATGAAGACCAGAGTTTTTTTTGGAGATAATGCTCTGCCTACTGCCATACTGAATGCAACCCAACCCTGTATCAGAAATATTACAGAAGCTTAAAGAAGAAAATAATGTGAAGTTTAATCACCATTCAACTTACACTCTTAAGTAAAGAACTCATGAATCATTTGCAATATCATAGCAGTTTTGAAACCTATTCTTGAATTTTCAAGCTGTTATTTTCAGGAAATTTAGAAAGCAAATTGCTAAGTGATAAAGAGTAATTTGATACCATTGCTTATGCCATTTTTTTACTTCTTTGCAGACTGGAAAAAAGGAAAGGAGTAATACCCTGAATATTGCGATAGACAACATGTGCAAGAAGACAAGAGACCTTCGCAGACAGGTGAGGGAAGAGAAACGTGGAGACTAACACCAAGCAAAATGACCTTCTTTTATTCTTTTAAACTTAATCTAGAATATAAAACAAGAGCAATAAACATACACTTTCCACATTTACATACCTCAGCCGTTTTTGTGGCAAACATAAAATAGAAGAAAGAGTGTGTGACTTAATATCAGGCAGTTACATTCAAATAAATGCTGGCCCTGCTGTCATCAGCTGTGCAATTTTGGGAACAGATTTCATCTTTCTGAGCCCCTTTGAACCCATAAAATGGAATTAATAATTCATAATAGAGCTGTGAGGTTTAAATGAAATGCCTATTAGTGCCTGATACATAGTAAATTTTTAGGGAATGTTGGTAAATTGATTCTGTTACATTAAAAATCTGAGTTTATTGTCCAAATGCTTAGAGCAAACATCTAGTAATACAGAGACCCTACTAATTTCCCCTTCTAATTCTTTTTGAGATGCCTCAAAAATTAGTTTCTCATGAAGTTAAAGCTACTTTCAACCTTAGGCCACCAGGAACATAGGATTAGAAAGGATTTCATTAAATAATTTAGGAGTTTGGTATTATACCACAAGTTAATTATTTTTTTCTTCAGAATATGAAGATTCAGCTATTTTCAAAGACCTTTTCTTTCCATTTCTTTCTACTATTTAATAATCAGGGTTCTTTCTCATGTACAACTTTAACTTGGTCACCATTAACTCATCAAAGAGGGGCAAGAACTTTTCAACTATAACCTTTTAATGCAGTATATTATTGTAGTTTAATGGGAAGATTGAGTAAAATGGCCCAAGCAGTCTTTTAATTCGAAGTAGATTTGGAAATGGGATAAATAGGGATCCACCACCAGGTAATATTAGCTGTGTAAAAGCACAATTTTGAAGACTGGGAAAATTCCTGTTTCTCAACTTTATAGCCTTAATGTGAATTCTGTTTCTACTGTCAGCACTTAAAATCACAGAATGGAAGAGGTGGAAGGAACTTAGCACAACTTGTCCTGTGATGTAGATGAGGAAGCAGAATAGTGTGGTGAGGTGGGGCAGGAAGGAGGAAGGGGCATTGAACTTACATCAGTCATAATCGATGCCCAGCCCAGGCACTCTTACCCTCCAGGCTGTCTCCTTCTTAGTTGTGTGACTTCTTGTCTGTCTTCTATCCCACTTGCTCCTCCTAGGACTTGGAAAAGTTGTTACTGTGAGCTGTTAACATCTGTGTCTTTCCTTCCCATCTTATCCCCCTAGGTTGCCTCCAACAAAGTTATGTACAAAGAGCTTATGTCCATTTATGTCTCCAAAGCTTTTGGAATCATTGTTTTTCTTTAAAAAAAAAGTTAAGATAAAGCAATCCTTTGTGTGTAGGATTACCAAATTTAGCAAATCAAAGCACAGGATGCCCAGTTAAATTTGAATTTCAGATTAGCAGCAAACAAATATTGCATGGGACGTAATTATATGTAAAAATTAGTTGTGTTTATCTGAAATTCAAATTTAGCCAGGAGTCTTATATTTCATCTTGCAATCCTACTTGTATTTCCACCTCACACCACCAGTGAGACATAGAAAGAGTGTAGGAAATTACTAAAGCTTTTCTTTGTAGTAATTGGATGTTTCTAGCTTATAGAGAACTGCTGTGCTCCAGAGGTACACAAATTCCCTATGGTTTCATAGGTCAGCATCTTCTTTTTGGGGGTTAAGTATTGCTGCTTAACAAACTACCAGAAACAATAGCAGCCATTTTATTATGTTTCATGATTCCATGGATTGGCTCGAGGTGAGTGGTCAGCTGGTCCATTTCTGTAGTATGTTCACTTGTGGTCTCCCATGTAGTAGTATTTCAAATGGTGTCTGGGTTTAAGGCTCAGTGCTGCTTCTTCTTCCCTCTCTCCTTGTGGTGCCTAATCTGCTAAGGCTCCTTCATATGGTTTCTTTCTAGCAAGGGAGCCTGGATTTCCTACACGATGATTCAAGACTCCAAGAAGGGAGAGATGGAGGCTGCCAGGCCTTCACCATGCCTGAGCTCCATAGTCACTAGGATGGTGTTTCTTCCACATTCTATAGATCAGAATAGTCACAAACCCTACCCCAGGTCAACAGGAGCAAGTAAAACACTATCTCTTACGGGAAAGGTGCATGTGTGTATGGGAAGATGGGATTGTTTGGAGCTGTCTTTGGAAACATCACGGTCTTCAAAGTGAGTTGAGGTAGTTGTTATGATTCGTTCTCAGTATCCTTACTTGACTTTCCTAGGGCTTCATTTTTCATCCTGATGTTCATGCTTGTGGCAATAAGAAAAACTAGTTTAAACAACAACATGAGTCATCTCCACCTCTTCTTACTCTTCCAAAGTTTGTCAGTTTGTTTTAAGTTTATTTTAATCTTCTGTATACTCTTTCACACAGGAAGGAGAAAGCCCCTACCCTTAAAATGTTTTGCTTTGAAATATTTAATATCTTTTTCTTGTTTTAGGCCTGTTTGTGTTTGTTTTTAGTAAAAAATAAGCAAAGCCCATCTTCCTGCTCATTCATCTTAATCCCCTTGCTTACCCATGGCTTGTCCATCAGCATCCCAGAAACATTTTAGCTTTGGTTCAGAGAATCCTTGGACTTCACCTGGGAGGAATGAGATAGATTGCTTAGACATAGCTGAGAAGAAGCAAATTATATATTTTGGGGCAACAAGATGGAATGTCCTACAGGTGACATTATTTATTTGTTTCAGGTAAGCAATTTGTCTTTTCTTGCTCTGTGACTTCATTGCCTGTTGTACTAGAGAACAAAGACAAAAGTCCTTGGCATGGTATTTCAGATTCTTTGTAATTTGGCCCCAACTTCATCTTCATAATTCTTAATGTTCTTTCTCCTTTCACTGTCTTTCCCATTCCTTCTCATCATACCAGTACGTTAACCTGTTCTCTGAATTTCCCACCACCTCCCTCCCCACCCAGACACACATGCATCTTTGTATAGATGGCTTGTTCAGTTTGGTGCCTTTCCTGTTCCCCTTACTCCCCTCCTCCCCACCAACTCCTAACTGACTGAGGAAGCTCAAGACTATTACAAATGCTACTTCTCCCATGAAAGCTTTGCCCTTTTCACCAGCTGGAATCACTTGTTTTCTTCCTGGAGCACTTACAGCATTGGTAGTTCTTTTATAGCAGTAATCATATTCTGCTTGTCTTTTTCTTTTTTCATGGATTTTTCTTCACTGTGATTTTAAATCCTTAAAATGATAATTATGACAACATCTCTCATTTAGTAAATGCTTTCCATAGCTCTCTACCAACTGTAGTTCTTACATTGTTGCTTTTTGACCCAGAAAAAAGATGTAATGCCATAGTATTACTATCTCAATCTCTCAGGTGAGTCAATATACTGAACATCCCCCAGCTCACTGAGAGCACCCAAGTTTGAGCCCAGGTCCATCTAACCCTAACCCGAATGTATAATCACTATGCCAGGGGCCAGGGAAAATACCCTATTCACCTTCAGAACTTCCAGTGCCTAATGCACTAATTTTATATCATAAGTTGTTTCCTTCCTTATTATTTATTTTATATTTTTAAAAAATTTCAAATTTCTTTTTCCTTATAGTCTTTTTCCCATCATTTATTTCAGAACTGTATACCTAATAAAGCTCTTAATAAGGGAGAAAGATTTTTAAACTTCCTTTACTTCATTAAAAAATTAAAACAAATATATTCAATTTCTACTGTATTATATAGAGTGAAACAGACGTTTAAAGGCAGATTAAAACATTTGTTTGTATGTATTGAGATATAATTGTCTATCTCATAAATGCCCAAATAAGGACTTGAGCTATATCAAATAAAATAGTATTCTGGTGACAACAAGCAAAACAAAAACTTGATTGATTCTTTAGTTGATGAGTTGCTGAACTGCTATATTCATCTCTTCTCCATGTTGGTAGTACCACTGTCATACTTAGAAAAAAATATGTTGGCTCTTGGGGGAGGGTATAGCTCAGTGGTAGAGTGTATGCCTAGCATGCATAAGGTCTTGGGTTCAATCCCCAGTACTTCTATTAAAATAAATAAATAAATAAATAAATCTAATTACCTCCTCCACAAAAACCAAAACAATAAAAATGCTTTAAAAAATATGTTGGCTCTTACACTTCCTCCTCATCATTCTTATCATCAAATAATATTAAGTATCTATAAGATACACAACTCATTAAGTTGACACCGTAGGTATATGCTGAATTAATTTTTAGGTGATTCAGTTCCTATTAGTTAATTGAGTTTTGAAAGTCATAGTTTGCTACTTGACTTAAAATGGCATCGGTATACACAAATACAAGTTTTTCTAGTACCCTGAGGATGATTCTTTTCTAAAACACTCTCTTCTTTCCATTCCTCTTCCACTCACAATTTCATTCTTTGTATTTCCTTATTTGGTGGGGATGATGGGGTGGGCAGGGCTTCCTTACAGTCTTCACATACAGCTTTCACTTTGGGGTTTCCACTGTAGAGACACATTATTTTATTTGAGATCCCAAACCACTTACATCAGTGGGAAATAGAAAAATTGATGTCTCAAAGCCTTTTATTAAATTGCAGTGAGGAAAGATGGAAAGCCCCTCAATTTGGTTTTGTACCTGACAGATATTTATTGAAAATATGTACCTCTAATTCCTATTGTCCTCCCACCAACTTTAGATTTTCATGCTGTGGCTTCTAAGATTGTCCTGTTTCTACATTGGCATGTTGGATTCTTCCTTAAGGTTATTTTGTATATCACCCAAGTGAAAGGAATTGTTCCACTGGGCAGAAAAATCATATAGACATAGAGAATACAGAGGAGGACTAGTTAGTTATTCTACATGAGTATAGATGATTTTACAATTTAAATGAAAAAAAATCCCATATGAATATGTCAGAACATATAAAAAAAGATTACTTAGCATAGCATTTAAGGTCTTCCAAATCTTGTCTCTATGTTCATTAATAGTCCTATCCTATAGATGACAGAATTAAACCTGGGGGTGTGCAAAACAGAAGTGGCAAAGTGTGATCATCAATGGGTAGTGTATATAAAACATCAGAGTCTGATACTTGCTACATGACCCAACAACAATAACACCAAACAGATGTGTCTATGTTATTACCAGATTCCCTGAAAGCAGATCCTGAGACTTGGGCCTTAGTTCAGGTCTTTTATTTGGGAGGCACTGCCAAGGAGCAAGTGTAAGAGAACATGAAATGTAATAGAACAGTCAGGGAGGGAGGAAAGGATGCACTATGGTGGTTGTTACTACAGGCTACAGGAGCTTAAGGACTTCTGAGGAGGGACAGAATGACTGAGAATTGTCTGCTCATGAAACCTGAGAATTTTGCCCAGAGTTCCCATCCCCTTGGTTGTGGATTGCTCTCAGTGTTGTTGACTCTCCAGAACTTTCAGGCTGTGCTTAAGCTAAGAATCTCACAGAGACTTGGAGGAAGTCCTGAGAAACAATAACACAAAGAAGCATGGATGGCACTCAAGGTGGGATGTCTTTGGAGGACATGGAACTCTTCCCCACAGTAACAGCTGAAATCAGAGACTGGGCCAGTGGATGAGATGGAAAGCACCAAAGGCCTCTAATATAGTCTATAATCATAGCTATGAATGTGCTGGTAAATGATCAGGAATCAGCAAGGGAGGCAAATTGTGAGTCGGTTGCATTGACTGTGCTGTTGTTTGCATGGGGTTAAGATCTTTCATAGGGGACAGTATCTCCCTGCCTGCTGACTGTGTGCTGTCTCTTAAAGATATCACTTATGTCTAACACAAGTCACCGATTTCTGCCCATTTTCTTCTGTCATCTTTTAATCTTTTTGTCTGAATTTTGTTCTTCTTACCTAAAATACTTTTCATTACCTCCATTGTATCTAATGAGATTTGATTTTAATCCTCACTCTACTACCATGTTCCAGTCACACAAGACACTTGTGAAATCTTGAGGATCCCTCTATTTTCTTTGCTTATGATAGTCCCTATTCCTAGAATGCTGTGCTTCCCACTTCCAACTCTTTAACATCTTATTCAGCTTTTAAAATGGAATACATGTATCATCCTTACAGAAGCCTTCTTAACCATGACAATAAGTTCAATGTTTCTTACTTGTTTGCACTTCTTTTAAGATACTCATCAAAGTCTGTGCATCTCTCACTCCCTAATACTTACCCTGTCTTTATCATCCTGGCATTCCCCAGGTTGTCTGGAATGATGCCTTGCTCTAAAGGCAATTTAGAAAGCTCAAAATGCATTTGTTTTATTGAATGATTATGTGACTACAGAATATTCATCTTACTCATTATATTTGACATTATAAGATATCAGGTAATTTCAGCCCATTTTCCAAGGCATAGAACTTACTTGAAAGCACATTTTCCAGTTCTTCTGTCTTGTCCTACTGAACATAATATCATACCTCTGTGGTACCCTTTTCTCATTTATTGTATTATGTACTTAGCAATATGCCTTAGAAAAAAGCAACAAATGTGCTCCTAATTTGGTTTAATTTTTAAAAAAAATAACTTAGTCAAAGAGTTTATTCTTTAATTAATAGTAAATCAGCTCTAGCTCAAGCCTCAACTTTGCAATACATTTCAACATTTGTGTATGGGATGACAGATTGAATAGCAGGGTAAATATAGTTGAAAACCTTGAAGAAATAAAAAAGAACAAGGGAGTAAATGTCATTAAAATGAAGGGAAGACAAAAGGTAGCACCACTGAGGGGAGATGCAAATATATTTAGTGCTGTAAGAAGATTGATAAAATTATTCAGGTATTTACAAAAATTGGCACAATCTAAGACAATAGTTATTTCTCTCTAGAAATAGTTATTTCTTTGATTTTTGTATCATGATAAATGAAAATGTATTTTTTAAAACGTAAGAGGACAATCTGAGTTTAATTGTAGATGGGACCATATATTGAAGTCTTTTATACGAGAAACCATCCCTCTTTAAACCTGTGTCTTAGTGTAGTTAATACCAAGCCTTATTTCTTCATGTCACTATCAAACTACTAGAAACAGGAGTTTATTTTGTCTCCTCCTCCTTGTCTCCTATTCACTCTTCAAACCACAGCAATAGGTTTCCTGTTTTCACTTTTCTGCCAAAACTGCTGTTATTAGGCTCAGTAATCACCTTAGCGGTCAAATCCAATAGGAAAGTCTTGGTTGTTTTTATTTAACTTATCTTTAAAATAAGACTCTGAAACCTTTTATCTTCTTGAAATTTCTTTGCTGTCCAGTCTCCTGGTTTTCCTTTATTGCAATATTTAATGACTCTCCTCCACTAGATTATAAGGGACCATATGTCTCCAACTTGATGTTTCTAACAATACCTTACTCTTGGTAGAAATGTAAGGAATGGTGCTTAGAAATATTTGTTGAGTTGAATGAAATCAAATATGCAGAAAAGAGGATTCAACACATTAAACCCAGTTATAGAAATTGTGTTTGGTAGAATAAATTCATTTGGTGAGCACTGGTGCAGAGGTTTATTTGAAAGTTTTTCTTTCAGCTGTTGATCATTTGGTCTCTGTTTCTTGACCAGCAGCTCAGTCTTTCAGGTCCTACTCTTCCATCTGCATGACTCTCATAAATGGTAGTATTTTCTAAGGTTTTATTCTTGGGCATCTCACTGTTCATCTCCCTCTACATGATTCTATTCACCTGCTTGCCTTGAATCACCTCCCATATATATGCTGGCTTTTAATCACATCTCTAGTGCATTTCTCCTCTTAGCCCTCCTTTTACTTGTCCTGGTTTTAAATGAAAGAAGAAAGGATAAAAGGGAAGGAAGGTCATTGAAAACAGCTCCCCCTCTGAGAGATTTCTTCTACTTTTCCCTTGTATATCTGAAACTAATACAACTTTAGTTTCCAGCTCAACTCCTCACTTACGATCTCTTGCCTGACTTCCCAGGCCCACTCTTTATGGACATCAAACTGTTCATTCACTCAAGTTCTTCCACTTGCCTTGTGAGCACTCAGCACTCTACCCCCTGTCCTAGTAAGTGCTCAGTAAATGCTAATAAATTGCCATTAGTGATTTGCCTTTCTGCATGCTAAGCAGGATCTTTCCTTGAGGATCTTCCTACAGCCTTTGTGAAACTTTTGGTAGCCATAAAATTTCACAGTTCTTCAGAGGAAGCTCTACTATCTTAGATGAATCTAGAATTATTATGGATTTGTCATCCTATAATTGTTACAGGAAGAGAGAGTGCTTTTGTTTTCATGTAGCTACATCTCTGAAAATGTATTATTAATTCTTCTGTAATCTAGAACTAGAATAAGTATCTATCTATTTTTAAAAATATGCTAAAATATATCTTTCAGAGAAGGTAAATTGTAAATTCTCTATCTGATAAGCTATTCATATCTTTGTTTTATTAAATTGAGGCGATTGACCGAAAACTTTGGAGCCATTCATAGTCATTGACATTGTTAATGAAACATTTCAGTATATTGTGATCCTTAAGGACTCAATATCATATAAATACAATGCATTAATTTTCCAGCTCAGTTTTAAATTTCAGAAAATATCTGCTGAACAGGGTAATTGCCTGATAGTCATTTATAAGCTTACACATAATCTAATTTAAAAGAACTAATTGTAGCAGAATGTTATGCTTAATAATTTAAGGTGTGAGGGCAAGAACAATTAATGCAAATGGAGAAAATTGGATATCAACCTCATTTATTATTCTCCTTGCTCTATTAATCTGATATCAACTGGCATAATCAGTGATCTAACTTGGTTTAATTACCATGAAGTCTACAATTTAGCTAATCAAAATTTATCATGAGTTCTTCCAACAAGATAGAAAACATTTTATAATTTTGTAATTATGAAAATACATGATGTACAATGTAGTCTGTACACATGCATAAACATTACAATAGTGCAATTTCTTCCAGGGAAAAATGTAGTACTATCACTTATAATTGACCTCTGGGCTAAATACAATTTAAGAAAAAGATAGTAATTTTTGAGAGCAGAAGAGCTATTACTCAATGATTTTTTTCTTGGATATTTTGCTTGTTTTAGCTTTGTGGGTAACATCCATACACAGTCTTAAATATTATGACTCTAGAGACTGTGCAAAGATTGTATAAAATTAATTTTATAATTATTGAGATTGTAAAAATAAGAAATAATATGAACTATTTACTGAAAAAAAAAAAAAACCCTGAACTTATTTATTTCTTCTCAGCTCCGTAAGGCTATTATAGATCATGTGTCAGACTCGTTTTTGGATACAACAGTCCCACTTTTGGTTCTCATTGAAGCTGCCAAGAATGGCCGGGAAAAGGAAATAAAAGAATATGCTGCAATATTTCGTGAACACACCAGCAGGCTTGTAGAGGTAAGTGTGCTAGAACTGTAATGACTAAATCCAGGAGAATAGTGCTCTCAGTCTCCATTCACAGCTGAATTGGACTGAAATACAAACTTTTGACCACTTACTGCAAATGAAGCAGAGTTGGGCCAAAGTAATACGAGGGTATGTATGTCAGATTGTGTCATTTCCTCCTGCTTGGAAACTGGAAACATGAAAATGTCCCATGATATGGGGGAGACAAGGTGGTATGTTGCTGAAGGAGTCATGAAGCTCTGGGTGATTCCCAGGAGATAAATCATGGAATCTGTTTTATTATGGGCATCAATAAGGCTGCCATAGTATAAGAGAAAGCCTGAATGGAAGAAAGCCTAACACCAGTAAGGTGACAGTACTCACAAAGCCAGGAACTGTTGTGGGTAGATGTAGCCGGTGTCCAGGTTCTTGTTCCGTCCCAGAAAGAATTTGGAGAGAAGATGAAGAGGTTAAGAAAGTAAAGTGAAGATTTATTAAGGGATAGATAGCACATTCTCAAGGGGAGAGTGGGCAGGCTCAGGTGAGTGGCTGGCCTGAGTTTCTTTGGCAAGTTGATTACATAGAGTATAAAAATAATATTCATTAGGGAAGGAAGGGTTTGGGGTCATATTTCTTGACTTTTCATCCCACCTCCACTTTCCCGAACGAAGCAGGGATTTTTGTACTTATTTAGTTTGGATCAGAAGTGTTATGACATTGGTGCATGATGGGCACTTCTAATCTCTAAGGCTAATTTTATTGTGATAAGGGCATAATGAGCCAAATACACTGGAGATTCCTGCTTTTTCTCACCTTTCTTTGTTGACCTCCAAGCTGCTAATCACCCCAAAAGGTGTGACCACTTATCAGCCCAGAGGTTCTTCCTTTTCTTTCTCTGCCCAGGGGCCTCTAGTATGTACATGATGTATGGTTTCCTGAATTTGTCATGTGCCCCTCCTTTCTGCCCAATTCCTGCCGTTTGGTCTGCGTCCCCCTTTCTCTGCTCATACCCAGCTATCTGCCTGCTCTGACAGAACCAGTGGCAGAAAGAGGGAAGTGTGGTTGGCCAGGTCTGTAGACCAGAGCTGCTATCCTGCTGATACTCATCAGTATGATGGTACCAGTTGTCTATGGCTGTTGTCTATACTCATTGTCAGTGCCCATGCTGTGCTGATTATTCAATGTTTAGACTGCTACACCTTCCTATATAGGCCTTGGATTCTGTGGTGAAATAGTGTTTGGGGCCCAGATTGCTTGCAAAACTTGTGAATTAAAATAGCCACCACCTGAATTAGAATGACAGCTTTCTATACAACACCTATTAAAAGAGAGGACTCTCCCAGCATCTTTAATGTGGATCCACTGGGAATGAAGTTTCCAATGTCGCTAGCACTTCCTCTGTCAACTTTCTGGATCTCAGTCTTCACATCTAGAAAATGAAAGGAGTGGATAAATAGATGATTACTAAGATCATTTCAACCCTAAAACTGTCCTACCTCCTGCTTTGAAATCTTTGAACTTTCTAAGAATTCTGTAATACAGGGCAATTGTGACACTTCCCATTGGCCTTATATGGAAATAAGGGTACAAAAACCCAAACCAGTCTAATGAGAGTCAGAGTTGATTTCCAGGTTTACAGTGTTTTGACTAATTCATTAAATTATTTATTATTTATCTGGTTTTATTTATTCCTTCTTGTACTCATTCCTCCAATGTTTGTTAACTATTCCCACAGGAAAGTGTTAAAATTAAAAGAGAGCAGAGAAGGAGCAGGTCATTAAGTGCACCTAACTCAGTGTAGCCCCTTTTATAGGCCATATAAAAGTTTTGTCTAGAAATGTGTTCTTTAACCTGAAGGCACACCAAATTCTGAAAACAACTTTTTGGTTAAATATTCTGAAAGTAAATGTTGATTTCTGCTAATAAAGTTGCATCCTTATTTCTAGTTTTCAGTTTAGTTTCTAATGAAACATAAATCTCATGAGGTGCTCAATAAAGAAGGACTCCTTGATCACACAGTTTTGGGAAAAAAGTTCTATCTGTTTCTCCTCTTGGAGATTTTACATTTCTGAAAAATCCAGAGATAAAGAGACCTCTTTAATTTAACTTAAGTCAGAATTTCCCCAAATCAATTTATGTAAAGTACTGTTTCTTTCATGACACTAAGGTACTGTCTTCCAGGAACACTTGAGAATGCTACCTTAATTTATTACCAAATGATGATTTATTCTAATGTAGACAGAGCTCTAAGAATCTATTTTAAATGTTTAAGGATTTTGGAAATTCTATATTTCACATGAATATGAAAGGATAAAAGATTTTGGAATTTTGAGCTAGTAGGGAACTGAGAATGGGTCTTTTTTAACTCTCTTTGTTCCCTTAGCACATTATAATGAGATTATACTGGCTTTGCAGTCTTCTATTTCTCACTCTGGTGTTACTTAGAAACTTGTATTCAGTTCCAGGAAGCTTTTACACATAGCAAACTATCCCCAAACTTAGTGGCTTAAAACAACCATTTGTTTTCTCTCGCTAATCTGTGGGTTGACTGAGCAGAGCTGGGCAGTTCTCACATAGGATCTCTCATGTGATTGCTGTCAAATATTGGCTCAAGATGGATATAGCCCTTCAAGAATTTGATTAGGCTAGACATGCAAGATGGTACATTGACCTGACTGAAAGTGCATGCTAGCTGTCAGCTGGGAGCTGAGCTATGGTTATCGACTGGAGCACCATCCAATACATGGCCTTCCCATGTGGCTTCAGCTGGCAGCATGTTTCCTGGATTCTGAGATTAGAAATCCCAAGAGTGAGCCAGCAACTGGAAGTAGAGCTGACATTCTCCTAAGACCTGGGCCCAGAAATTGGCAGATTGTAGCTTCCACTGTATTTTATTGGTCAAAGCAATCACAGAGCCTGCCCAAACACAAGGGAAGGAGTGGGAGCATGAGATTCAGCATCTCAGTGGGAGGAATAGCAAAGTGTTTGTGACCACCTTTAATCAACTACGCTTCTCTGCTCAGGGCTTCATTTGTTTTAGCTGTAAAGTAAAGGTTAAAAAAGATCATTGAAGGTCACTATCAGTTTCTAAAATTGTATGATTCAACAAATACTTTTTACAATTGAGAGGCTTCTAGTTTTCTAGGAGATATAGACATAGGAGGAAATGAAAATGGTTTTTAAGTGTAATGCTGAAACACTAAGTTGTTTATATATACCAAGAAGGAAAAAAAAAAGAGCACTGCATTTATCTTCCAGGAAAATTCTTCTTTGAAACGAGCTGTCTAACCAGAGCAACAGAGAAACTCATCATTAATTTACTACAAAAAATTGAGGCAGAATTGTCTGGGACAGAGTCTGGGGAAATAGGAGAGCTTAAATATGTCCGTTTCAGAGCACATTGTGAGTTCACTTTGTATGGATTGCTTACCAATCCTGTATCTCCCTTTTCTTACCAACCTCCTACACAGACATGCACATATACCCATTTTTTTTCCCTAAGCTGAGTAACCTGACATAGCTGGGCAGAAAGTCTTAGATTCTAAATGACTTCAAGAAAAAGCCATTTTCAATGTGTCTGGATTTTGATACCTCAAATCTATTTGTCAGAGAAATCTAAAATCATGAAGTTAACTTGTTGAAGTAAGACTTATATGGGGAAAAAAGTCTATTTTTAAAGAATTCCTATCAGATCTTTGGAAAAAATCTCCGTGCTGTTCAAGGAATGCTTTAGATAGTGGCTACCTTGTAACTTTTATAAAAGGGATAATAAAAAGCAGAACTGAACACAATGCAAAAAGACAAAGCATTAAGAAATTCTGTGGGTAATGATTAAGAAAAAAAGGGCTTGGAGTATTGGAGAAAGAAATGGGAATGAGAAGCAGGGTGGCCAGTAAATGGGGCGTGAACATTCCCATTCTCTAGTGAAGTCGTGTCTGTTTTATTACCACGTAGTAAGTTTAGTATAAAATGACCATGGATGAAATGATGGTTATAAAAACCTGGGCAGTGCCAATAACCGGAGAATTAAGATCCTTGTGGCTAATTTTATTTTACTTCCATTGAATTAAGTAACTATTATGCAAAGTTTTTCCTATTTTGAACATTCAAGTTACTCTGTGTTTTGGGATCCACCAAGACACACTGGGAATGAGAAGCAGGAGTCAAGAGGCTGGCATTTTAAAGATTAAGTTCATAAAGTTATTAGCAATTAATGACCAATGTGCTCATTGAATTATGCTTTCCAGTACTTTGATCTTGCATTGATGGTGTCTTAGGGTACATTAACTCTACTGGCTTCCACCAATAATACCTATTAAACAGGAAGTTTAAAATATTAATTTTACCTTAAAATAAAAATATTCCGTAATTCTAAAGAGTAAGAATTTTTTTATTACTGTAAGCCTCCTTTAATAGCAGAGTCTATAAGCTAGTTCTCAATAAATCTGTATTGAATGAAGAAACACATTCATAACACCAACTCAGTTTTCTTTCTTTCTAAAGAGCTAACTTTGGGGATTCTAGTAACTGGACTTGAGATCTGTGCCTGATCCCAATTATTTAGAAGAGTACTTCACTACTCTATTGTACAAGGATACTTTAAAATAATACTTCTCAGTGATATTAGCAAATGCCTTTGCCATTAATTATCCAAACCAGATACTATAAACCTTGCTCCAGATCTCCTCAGAAGGAGTTTGTGACAATTTGATATCATCTTTAAATAACTTTGCCCACTTCAGAGATATAGTTTGTGATTTTGATGTGGTAATATAACTATTCAGAAGAATGCCATTATATTTAATAAATACATCATTTTCATAATGGCTACTATTTAATACTGCTCTGTAATTAATTTTTTAAAACATTGTTATTTTTGAATCATATTACAGTTTGTTCTCAGCAAGTCAGTTCATGCTGGACACTACAGTTGCTACCAATTAAATGATAAAATCTCCTGTTTATTCCATGGGTTTTATCATATTCATTATTATTAAGCATAGCATGTTAAT